GGGGGGGGTAAAGTCTTGTCATGTGGACATCTCGGACAAGACGCAAAGAATTGAGAAAGACGTTTTCTATTAGCCTGTGTGTCACCAAAATGCGGCTTTCATGACATATCCTGTCCACGAGGTCAATTCTTATACACATGACTAATCTTGGTGACTTTCTTGTCTTATAAACAAACATTATCAATTTAATTTTTGTCTATTTTGCACATTCTGCATTATAAATCAAAAGGTTGGTTGTCGATATCTTATTAACTATCCAGCGTATTGTATTGATTAAAATAGTTTTCTGGATCTCTCTAGCGTTCTCTGTTATCCGGCCTACTTTTAAAAAATGTTTGATGGCCGTTGCATTTACAAAATTATAGCGTAGTGTGGATCTATGTGACAAGGCGAGTACCAGCGACTGTCATCAACTTTGATGCCTTCTTCTTCTTAGAGCTCAGAGCTTAGTTCGTTTTTCCAGTTGTGAGATTAATCACATTGAACGTACTGAATTCCAGTCGAAGAAAACAATGGAAGCAAGGAAAAAATGAGGCTAACTTTCTTCTGAACACGGGCATCAGCTGTGATATTGTTGGTTTAAAAGGGAAAATGTTTCAATCGTTGTGATAGCTGTAACACACCCTCCACTCTCCAAACTCTAGAATTGGAATCAATCAAACATAGCACTCAGCTCACTCTGTGGCAGGTGGCATCTGAGATAATAAAGAATGTATTACGTGAGTTATGGTGATAGATCATGATTAATAATTTATTCTAAGAGTGAAATCGCCAAGTTGTAATCATAAGATTCAACAAGTGATTACAGCTGGTGATTCCACAGGTACATGAACCATAAATTGTATTACTCCATTGACAGAGAGGGAGGTGTTGTGAGATGGGTCCATATTAATAATAGTAATTTTTCCTTTAACATTCACAGTCAGTCCTATCTGGTAACACTCTCCCACTTAGACTCAGTGTCGGGGAGGGGTGCAAAGATCAGTCACGCAAAATGTACAGTTTTAAGGCATAACAATTTGACTTCAATAGGCACCCAAAAAAATATTTACAGATGAGCTTAAACTGGATACTTTTTCGTACCTCTTACAAACGTAAAAAGTAAAGTTGTTCACAAATTTCATGTGGAGTTCAGTGATTTGACATCAAAACTTCTCATGCTTATCCCAGGCAAGGTCAAAGCTCAAAATCACGTATACCTGAACTCTGGGGGTAGCTTTAAGTGTAATAAAGTTCATTTCATTTTTAGCGCTCGTTTTCTAAGACTATATTTCTTTATACTGGAAGCTTTTCATTTCCATTTACAAAAGGCACCAAAGACTGCATAGTCAAACGTTCAATCTGCTTGCACTTCTGTTTCCTACAGGCTTTCGTGTTATTGTTCCCGACGTTCATGTTGCTACTCTCTGGCCCCGTTTCATATTCCTTTTCTATTCGCTCTCTTTGCCCTATGAACAACAACAGTAGTTCTATTCTATAGATTTCTTAAACGGGTTATACCGCTGGTTTAACGGCGTGCTGTATGTGCTGCTGTGGTGCACAGCGCATTGCTTTGAAGAGATTGAGCATAAAGGGCACTGAAAGAGATACAATATTATATCAGATTAGTTGAACCACTGACTCATTCCACATTCGGTCCAGGTGATCAATTTGAAAAAAGTAACCTTTAAAAATAATAGAAATCAGAAGAAAAATACATTGCTCAGTTTGGTTGCTCTGAAAGTTACTGTTTAATCTAAACATATATTCGCAATTACCTTAGCTAAGATTTAAAAAAATAATAAAAAAACAGTTGTATTAAAATTCTCAAGACCTGGATTAACTGTAGATGTGTTCTGCACAAACCATTCTCCGACACGCACACACTAACCTCACGCTTTATGATAAGGTAGATGGCTCCTACTTGGCTCTGTCTTATCAGATATGAACTTCAGAACCAGAGTCACCGCCTCTCAAATAGCCTCAGAATATTTTATAGGGTGTTATGCCCATACATGGAATCACAAGACAATTCTCTACAGCTTAAATTATAATAATAATAATCTAGTTTTTGTGCACTAATAAAGCTAACTTCAAATTGTTTGAACTATAGGCTAGGGAACCGAATGACAATTATGATAACACTGAAAATCAAAATGCAATCTAGACCCTCTGTTGTCATGTAGCTTGCAGTAACAATCATTCATTTTCATTATCGTTTACCCTTTTCAACAATTATATGACATAAAATACCAGTCTATGATTCTTTTGTCGGAGATCACACGCTGAGTAACGGAACAATTCACTTTCTCTCCACCTTGTTTACCGAAAGCTGGCTGAGATTCTTGTTTAAACTATTTCGTCAAATATTTGATATGATAAATGGTCCTACAATAAAAGAATTGGGCCTTCTGTAATTATAGTGGTAATTAGTTATCCCCAAGCTGATGATAGAAACAGCCAGCCTGCCCACACTGAAATGGACCCTTATGAAGAGGGTCGAGGAAGCATGGAGTACCCTGTCTTCCTAAGACCCAAATTCTACATTCAAGTATTCAAGTAAGAATCCCTACCACTCAAACGGGAGATTATGATTGTATTTCTTGCCGGAAAGGGTTTATTTTGTCTAAATATTGATAAAGAGAATTGAAACAGATAAAAACACAGAGGCTGATTGAAAAGAGGTGATGGTAAAGACAGGAAGTGAGAAAGAAAAATTATTTCACATTCAATACAATATACCCGATTTTTTTCCGAATGTCTGCAAAATCGTCAATGCAGAATAGCCATTTTCTTGGTCGTAGAACTGGGATTTTGCTAGTATTGATAATGGTAATGGAAGAAGAAGAAGAAGAAGAAGAAGAAGAAGAATG